GCACCGACGTTGTAAAGCTCGTTTTGGACAAGAAGTACAAGTTGTCATGTCCAAAAATATTTCTGAATTAGAACAAAATGTGAATATTTAATTAACATCTTACAAGTTATACTGTTGTCATTCTTAAAGCCATTTATGTCATCCTCTAGCCCACAAATTATCATTAATATTTGTGGAGACTTGTGAAATCTGAAGATATAAGTGAAGATAATAGTGTTCTAAAATATACTTTTATTGTTAATATTTTATGCCTCTTATTTTGTAATGTTTTATTATAACATAGTATTATAAGTCCATAGTACCTATGATAATACACTTCTTATATGTTAAACACACGTATTTTATCTCAATATTTAAGGTATATTACCTGTACATTAATTGGGATTTTTTGTTTTTATGCTTTTGTTTTTTAGAAAGCTAAACCCTTACAAATATATTAATGCTTTACAAAGCTACCTAGAAGAGTGATGTGTGCATATATTGAAATGTAACTATTCCATGGGGTATACATTTTTTACCTGGAATCTTGTTGAGATACCTTACTACCTTTTGGTAGCACTGACTTACTATGATCAATGTGTCACTTTCCTCCTGTTCCACCGTTTCTTATTATGTCTCACCAGCTAAAGTGAAGGAAGAGATTGACAACGTGATTGGCAGGCACCGCAGCCCCTGCATGCAGGACAGGAGCCAAATGCCCTACACAGATGCTGTGCTGCATGAGATCCAGAGATACATTGATCTCCTACCCCTAAGCCTGCTCCATGCGGTAACCCGTGATGTTAAGTTCAGAGACTACATCATTCCCAAGGTGAGTTTGTTTCTTCTCTGCTGAAGCTCCATAGGGAGCTCCAGAGGGAACTCAGTTCCTGAGGTCACTGTGGGATTCCTCTTCTGCACACCACATGAGAGACCTGGGAAAGTCTCCGCTCAGTTGGCTGCTTAGGAGAGTCTCTGTTATGGCAAGTTGGTGGTTATATATCCGTGCAATAACGCCCTGGTATCCTGCACTGTGAGTTTTCCAATTTTTGTTCTGCCCCTTAAATTCTTTTGTTTTGGGAATGTTCTCCCTTTTAGCTATGCTTAGTTTTTTTTATTTCCAAATGAATCTGACAAGTTTATTTTTTATCAATTTCCCAAAATGCTCTACTGGAATATGTATCATGATGATCGTAAAATTATAGATAAATTTGGGGGAAAATGTTATTTTCAGTTCTCCAATTCATGAATAAATTATGCTCCCAATTTACCTATGCTTTATTTTATTTTCCAAATAATATTTTGTTTTCAATACACTGTCTTAGAAATATTTTCATGGACTTCATCTAAATGTGGAGTGTTTTGATTGTTATTGTTCTGTTTGTGTTGCTGGTGGTTGTGGTGGTAGTTGTTCTTCCAGCTTGAGCTTTGGGCCGCAGCAATGTCCTGGGCCCTTTTTGCTCAAAGCTGGTATTTTGCCACATTGAGTCACAGAACCAGTTCTGGTTTTTTGGTAATTACTGGAGATAAGAGTCTCATGGACTTTTATTACCTGGCTGGCTTGTAACCGTGATCCTCAGATCTCAGCCTTCTAAGCAGCTAGAATTACAGGTATGAGAAAACACTGCCGTTTGACTGTACTATTTTATGGTGCCTTTACTATACTTGCTACATGATATACAGAAAAATAATTAATCATTCTGATGACCTCATAATTAGTAAACTCATGAAATGTATTAGTCATTGCTAATGATTTATTTGAAGACTTGTTTCAAATTTTAAGGTGCATTACCTTGATATCTGGGTTGATATTTTATTCTCGCTTTTCTAATTCTTATGTCCATAAATTTGCTTTGCTGAATTTTTGCACTGGCATCCAAGGATGGTGGACATCTTTGTTTCATTTATGATTGTCAGAAAATATTTCAAGATTGATATTTCACTGTCAAGTTGGGTATCTTAAGTTGCTTTGGTAGATTTGTTTATAATATTAGGGAAGTTTATCCCATATTTTTATTTATGTATGCATCTTGAACATAAATATGTTTGTATTTTGAATCAGATCTATTCTCCATAATAATTCTTCTTTTTAAAGTATTTTATTGTTATTATAAAGGTGATGTGCAGGTCGAGTACATTTCTTCTTGGACAATGTCACGCCTTCTCTGGCTCTCTCCCAGTTTTTCCCTCCCATCCCCACCTACAAGTTGTACAGTTCATTTTCAACATAGTGTCTAGTGAGTTACACTGCTCAATTTGTTCATCCTTTGTCCCTCCATTTCTGTGCCTCCCCTAACACTCCCAAAGAAAGATAAATGAACAAACAGAAACAAAAGGAAAGGAAACAAAAACAGCAAAAAAGAAAAGAAACCCTTCTTTTCATTTCCTGCAGTTCATTCCAGTAAATATTACTTTGTATGATCAGATTCAATAGACATTGAGCCTTTGTGTTCCTCTCATAAAAATATCCTCCTGTGGTCTCACTGTATGAATGCCTAAGAGTCTTCTTTTTATATTAGTTTAAAATTTCAAGCACAGTACTGGCTTAGGCAGCACATATGGTAAATCGGAGCAATACAAAAAAGATTAGCATGGCCCTGCTTAAAGATGACACTCAAATTTGTGATGTATTCCATATTTTTATCAAAACAAGTACCAGGAAATGGAAACGTTGGAGTTGGGACAAATGAGGACACAGGAATGGAAAGAGGAAGGGGGAGCAAATGCAGTCACTGTATTCTAGATGAGTAGTTGTTGGCCTTCCAATGCTTTGTGCCCTCCTCATTTTAAGGTTTCTGCTGTGGAGAAATCTGGTGTTATGCAGATGGGCTTGCCACCATAGATGACTGGTTGCTTTCCTTTAGGAGCTTTTGGTACTCTTTAATTTTTCTGAATGTTTAATGTTTGACTATAATGTGTCGTGGAGTGATTCTTTTTTGATATGATCTGTTTGCTGTCTTACACACCTCCTGTACCTGATTGCTAAAGATTTAGGAAATATTCTCCTATTATTGAATATGTTTCTTTTTTCCTTTAGTATGAGCCTCTTATCCATCCTCTATGCCTATTTTATATAAGTTTTATCTTTCAAGTTTCCCAGGTGGATTTTATGCTCTTTTCATACTTCTTTACTTTTCACCTAGTTCTTCATCTATTTTAACATATCTACTTTGTCCTGATATTCTGTTTTCAATTTTATCCACTCTTTGTCACTGGATTTTTTACTTGATTCATATAGCTTTTCATTTCTAAAAGTTTAGTTTAATTCTTTAATATTTCTGAATCTTTGTTGAACTCATTGATATATTTCATTGTTTTCCTTACTTATTCAGCTGTTTATTTGTATTGTCTTGGAATTCACTCATGTTTTTATTTTTTTTTCATTTTACTGATCTTGTAGTCTTGTTTTGAGTTCGTTGGGCTTTCTTCTTCAATATCCTTTATGTCTATTGCTATAAAATTGTTAAACTTTGGAGATATTTGCCTTTTAAAAATACTTTCTGTATTGATATTTATCGGATCTGAAGCCAGATCATTGGTTGGAAATCTCTAACACCTTTAGACCAGAAGATTGAATTAAGTGATTTTCATTGTATCTGTAGCCTCTATAACTGGGTTTGTGTTTTATCAGTCAAGAGTCTTGAACTCAGGACCTGGATGCTCTCCCTGAACTTCTTTTGCTTAATGCTAGCACTCTACCACTTTGAGCCTTAGCATTACTTCCGGTTTTCTGGTGATTAACTGGAGATAACAGTCCCGTTGACTTTCCTTCCTAGGAGGCTTTTAACTGCAATCCTTAGATCTCAGACTCCTGAGTAGCTAGGATTACAGGTATGAGCCACTAGCACTTGGCTTTATGTATATATCAAACTTAGCTTAGCTCCTCTGTGTATATTGTTCCCAGGGCACAACTGTATTACCATCACTGACATCCATTCTGCATGACCACAAGGAATTCCCCAACCCAGAGATGTTTGATCCTGGCCACTTTTTGGATAAAAATGGTAACTTTAAGAAAAGTGATTACTTCATGCCTTTCTCAACAGGTAATAAAATTTTATTCCCATAATTCAAGATAAATTTGTGGGTGCGGAGGGGGATGTCAGTTGGAACTTATATAAATCCTCCTTTGGGGCTGGTGTATTTGCCCTAAGCTTGTGATTAGGAGCAGCTCTAAATGCCCATGCACTTTCTTGTTTATGATGCATCTCCACTGTTTGACCACATTAGAGGTTTCAGTTTGTTTGTGCATTTCTTCCAAGTTGAGCAAGATTAAAGCATAGATCTTTTGCCTTCTCTTCCTAACCAGTAATCCTCATTTAGACGGCCCTCACAATGAGAAAGATGATCACATCACAGGTCCTTGCCACATCTTTTTGTGGCATTTGTCACCCCCAGGATCCTCTACAAAATGAATTTCTCTCAAAATACACAGAAAAGTGCTGAAGTCCAACAAGGGGGAAAAAATCACAGATTATGAGACAACAGGGTTTGCAATGGGGAATATTAACCAACTTATTCCTTTCTCGTTGTCCAAAACTAAACAAAAAATTTAGTAAGTAACATTTTAAGATAATTGAGGTACTTCAAAGGGGACAGAGAAGAGCAGAGCATATCTTTAAAGTCATGAACCATAAGAGCAAAACATTTAATCTCAGCTAAGAGTGTCAGAAACTGTCAAATAATGTTATGTATATATCAGAAACATGGGGCAGATATCCCACAATGATCACAGAGCACCATGCTCTTCTTTCAATCCAAGACATGTGTCTGAACACCTGCAGTATGTGTGCTGTATATCTGGCCAGGGAGCCTCCTTCCTTCTCTAATGCTGTGATTTTTTTTATTTTCTATAAATTTTTATTGTAAAAATAATGTACAGAGGGGTTACAGTTACATGAGTAAGGTAATGAATACATTTCCTATCCAAGATTGTTACCCCCTCCTTTGTTGTTCCTCTACCATCCCTTCCCTCCCCACCTCTTCAACTACCCCCCGCAACTTGTAAAGTTCATTTTCTACATGTGTCTTGTAAATCTCATTGTTACAATGGGTCAACCTGTATCCTTGTTTCAGCATTTTGTTATTTCCCTTCCCCTACCCAAATTAGAAAAATGTATATACAAGATGCAGGGCACCAACATCAAATAAAGGCAACCATTGGTCCTATATTTTGGGGTGCCTGGCTTACTTCACTTAATATAATTTTTCCAGGGCCTTCCATTTCCTAACAAATGGGGCAATGTCATTCTTTCTGATAGAGGTATAGAATTCATGTGTGTGTGTGTGTATGTGTGTGTGTGTGTAATGGATTTCTCTCTCTAAATATATACCACATTTTCTTGATCCATTCATCTACTGAGGGGCATCTGGGTTGGTTCCATATCTCAGCTATCGTAAATAATGCTGCAATAAACATAGTTTGTGCTGGTATCTTAGTAGAGCTATGTTTGTGATCATTTGGGTAAATGCCCTAAAGTGGGATTGCTGGGTCATAGGGGAGTTCTATGTGGAATCTTTTGAGGAACCTCCATGCTGCTTTCCAAAGTGATTGAACAAGTTTACACTCCCACTAACAATGCAGTAAGGTTCCCTTTTGGCCACCTCCCCTCCAGCATCTGTTGTTATTAGAGTTCTTGATTATAGCCATTCTAACTGGGGTAAGGTGGTATCTCGATGTTGTTTTGATTTGCATTTCTTCTATGGCTAGAGAAGTTGAGCATTTCTTCATATGTTTATTGGCCATTCTTATTTCCTCTTCAGAGAAGTTTCTCTTTAAGTCTTTAGCCCACTTGTTTATTGGGCAGTTGTTTGTTTGAGGATTTGTTTTGGGAGGGATTTAGTTTTTTGAGTTCTAAGTATATTTTAGATATGAAACCTTTGTCTGTGATGTATGACTAGTGATGATCTTCTCCCAATTTGTTGGTTTTCTATTGATCTTGATAGTTATGACCTTTGCCATGCAGAAACCTTGCAATTTCATGCAATCCCATTTGTCCAATCTTTCTTTCATATATTGTGTTTCTGGGTCTCTATTAAGAAATTTTCTGGGCTGAGAAGAGGTGGCTCAGTGGTAGAGTGCTTGCCTTGCATGCCTGAGGCCCTGGGTTCAATTCCTCAGCACCACGTAAGAAAAAAGAAAAAAGCCGGTAGTAGCGCTGTGGCTCAAGTGGTAGAGCGCTAGCCTTGAGTTGAAGAGCTGAGGGACAGCGCCCAGGCCCAGAATTCAGGCCCCACGACTGGACCAAAAAAAAAAAAAAAGAAAGAAAGAAAGAAATTTTCTGCCTGTGCCAAGGAGCCTAAGAGTTTCTCCTATTCCTTCCTGTAATGTTTTCAGGGTGTCTGCTTTGAGATGAAGGTCTTTGATGCATTTGAAGTTGACTCTGATGCAGGGTACTATCTGGGATCTAGCTTTAGTTTTCTATGGGTGTTTAACTAGTTTTGCAGCACCATTTACTGAAGAGGCTGTCTTTCTTCCATTCTATTTTTTTAGGTCCCTTATCAAAGATTAGGATGGCTATAAGTCTGTGGGTTCATTTCTGGGTCTTCAGTTCTATTCCATTGGTCTTCAGGTCTGTTCTTGTGCCAGTACCAAGTTGTTTTGATTACTGTGGCCTTGTAGTGTTTTGGAGTTTGGTATTGATATTCTTCCAGCACTGCACTGTTTTTTCTGCTAAGGATTGTTTTTGCTATTCAGGGTCTTTTATTGTTCCATATGAATTTTGGAGTTGCTTCTTCTATTTTATTGAAGAATGAGATTGGAATATTGATAGATGTTGCATTGAATTTGTAGCTAGCCTTTGGCAGTATTGTCATTTTCATGATGTTAATCCTCCCAATCCAGGAGCATGAGAGGCTTTTCCACTTCCTAAATTCCACCTTAATTTCCTTTTTTAGGATTTTAAAGTTTTCATCGTAGAAGTCCTTTACTTCTTATTAAGTTAACTCCTAGGTATTTTATATTGGGGGGCATTAAAAAGGAGTTGCTTTCCTGATTTCTGCCCCACTCTTCTCATTATTGCCATACAGAAAAGCCATTGATTTTTGAGGGTTAATTTTTATACCCTGCTGTTTTGCCAAAATTTTGGATCAGCTCCAGTAATTTGGGTGTGGAGTCCATGGGATTCTTTAAATACATGATCATGTCATGTGCTAAGAGTGAGAGTTTTACTTTGTCTTTCCCCATTTGGATCCCCTTTATGATTGTATCTTTTCCTATTGCTCTAGCTAGGCATTCTAATACAAAATTGAGAAGCTGAGAGAGTGGACATCCTGTTTTATTCCTGAGGTTAGAGGAAATGGCTTTAGTTTTTAATCATTAAGTATAATGCTGGTTGTAGGTTTGTCATACACAGCCTTTGTTATATTGAGGAATGTTCCATGGATTCCTAGTTTTTCCAGCGCCTTCATCATAAAGGGATGTTGGATCTTGTTAAAGGCTTCTTCTGCATCTATTGAGATAATCATGTGGTTCTTATCCTTCCTCTTGTTGATCTGATGAATTATATTAATTGATTTGTGTATCTTGAATGAACTTTGCATCCCTGAAATGAATGCTGCTTGATCGTGGTGCATGATTTTTTGATGAGTTGTTGAAGTCGATTGGCCAAAATTTTGTTGAGAAATTTTGCATCCATGTTCATCAAAAAAATGGATCTATAGTTCTCTTTCTTTGAAGGGTCCCTGCCTGGTTTGGGGATGAGGGTTATGATGGCTTCATAGTAAAGGTTCATATGGAATTTTGAGGAGGATTATTGGTATGAGGTCTGCTTTGAGGCCTCGTACAATTCAACTGTAAATCCACCTGGTCCTGAGCTTTCCTTGGGTGGGAGGTCTTCTATTGCTGTTTATATTTGATGCTAGATATGGGTCTGTTAAGTTGGTTTAAATTATCTTGGTTTAGTTTTGGCTTGTCGATGTTTGCTAGAAAATAATCCATTTCTTTCAGAGTCTCAAACTTATTCAGCCTCCTGAGTAGCTAGGATTGCAGGCATGAGCCACTGGTGCCCAGGTAATGCTGCTTTATATCTGTAACTTAGATACTAAGGGGAAAGGCAGTGATCTCTCTTCAAAAATTCACTTGTTTTACACAAAGGGAAACATTTTAAATAATGAGAAAATTATGTTTTCAGATTATTTTGTGCTGCTGAAAATCTGAATATGACATTTGGGAAACTGAATTAGGGCAAGATTTTATTGCTTGAAGGGTCACAAAAAGTATTAAAAAGGAAATGAAATGTGGCCTGTGTCTTGATGTTAGGGAAAACGTATCATAGCCAAAAGGAATTTCATGATATAATATTTAAACTTGTGTACTGTAGGCTGATAAAATGGACAGTTGGGTTGTATTAAAATGCAAAAGTGTTCATTGAACATTTTTCTGGAGACAACTTACGCAATATGAACCCATATTTTTAGAACAACACAGATATCTCTAGAACATAGTTTATCATAGGAACCTGAAACTCAAATTTTTATAAATAGAAATAATAAAACCCAATGAAAATTGTAATAAATTAAAATCTATTATTATTTTAATGCCTTGCCAATGCTATATGAAAGAATTATTAGCATCCTCATTTAATATGTGAAGAAACTAAGGTTCAGATAGTTTAAGCAACTCAGCCACATGGGTACTTAGCGACAGAGTCAAAATTTGACTTCTGAATTGATTGTGAAAGCAGTGTTTCTCATCACTCCTTCCATGTGATGAATTCCACTTGGAGTCTTGGGAAGGTCTGTGTCCTCCACCCCTGCATATATATTACTCTATAGATGCAAAAGTTTGGAGAAAATCCCAAAGTATATTGTCACAGGCCTTGTTGGTAAGTAGGGATAATACTAAGAGAGAAGCAATGGAGTAGACCTTCAGGTTGAGGACAAACTGTATTAAATCCTCATCTCAACCACAGGAGAAAAATACAATTGGAAGCTTACTTGTCTTCCAGAATTATGACCCCTCTCTGTAGCAGAGAACATAGCTGATATAATAATTCATCAACCCCCAACACGACAAGAGAAAAGAGAGAAAGAGAGGAAGAAAAAATTTAAAGAGCATTTATCATGTAGAAATATTTAATGAAAGGTTTACATGATGATGATAATCTGGTTTTTATTTAATATAATTTGTTTTGGTATGGTTTACATTTGGATTGTTTTTTAAAGATAGGATCTAAAAAATGTAGCCCAAACTGGTTACCAACTCAAGATTCTTCTATCTTAGCCTCCTGTGCTTGAATTACAATTGGGTGCTGCCATTCTCAGATTTGGAAAAATAAAAATAAAAACTTTTAATGATGTATTAGTTAAGATTACATGTTAGATAGGCAAATAGTCTGTCTTCCCTGGGTACCTCCATGCATCATCCATCTGCCATGCATTCAGTATTTCATTGAATGAACATTGACACTCTTTTGCAAGTTACAAATGCAGTGTTTCATATGCTCACATACAGGGAATCATTTCCTGCTTTCTTTTTTTTTTTAATTTCAGGCAAAAGGATTTGTGCTGGAGAAGGCCTAGCCCGCATGGAGCTATTTTTATTCCTGACCACCATTTTACAGCACTTCAACCTGAAATCTCTCGTGGATCCACAGGACCTCGATATCACTCCAGTTCTGAATGGGCTTGCCTCCTTGCCACCAGCATACCAGCTGTGCTTCATTCCAGTGCAAAGAAGAGCTCTGCTGTCTGGCTCCAGCTGTGCAGCAATCTGCAGTTCCCTCCTCTGAGCCATCACTCACCTCCTTCCCCTGCCAGGAATGCTTTCCTGTCCTCCCTTCTCACATCTCCCCTCTCCCTCCCAGATCCAGGAAGATCCATTCTCCATTTGGGAGGGTTTCCTGTGTCACTGCACTGTCACATCTATAGTTCACTATGATTTATAATAGTCTTATTCACCACTCCACATGCTAACACTTATCTAATGCTGATTTACTAATATGCTAGTATGGCAAAACCATAAAATGATTACCATGTGACAACTCAAACTCCTTTTTCTGTATATTCTCCATAATAAATACTACTTTTCATGCCTGGGGTCATTTTTGGACTGTCCTACTTTGTTCAAAATTCAGTGAAGCAATAAATCAAACTAGAGTCCTATATTATCTGCATTACAGCAAGCACTGAGAATGGGAAGGGGAAGATGGTAGGAAAACTCTTTGGCTATGTCACCTGTCATATCTGAAGATGTGGACTTAATGAACAAAAACAATGTCCAAAAGTATCTCCTCCTGTAGGGAAATACTGTGAGCCGCAGACATAGACATCAATAAACATTACAGGCTAACATTCCTGTCTTTGGCATTAGTGTGAACAATAAATCAAAATTGGTTTTCTACAGTGTTTAACCAATTTTACCAGCACCATTTCTCCCATCCTTTTTTTGACTCCCTTATCAAAAATTAAATGGCCATAGGTCTTTTGGTTCATTTCTGGGTCTTGAGTTCTATTCTATTGGTCCTCAGGTCTGTTCTTGTGCCAGTACCAAGCTGTTTTGATTACAATAGCTTTGTAATAGAATTTGAAGTTTGGTATTGATATTCCTCCAAACACTGTTCTTTCTGCTAAGGATTTGCTTTTGCTATTCGGGGATCTTTTATTGTTCCATATGAACTTTGGGGTTGCTTCTTCCATTTCATTGAAAATGAGGTTGAGATATTGATGGGTATTGCATTGAATTTGTAGATAGCCTTTGATAGATAATCAACAGAAGAACCATTAAATGTAGTTTATCCAAAATAAAGTACTTTGGTCTATCAGTGTTGAGTTAGATTCTAATTAGAGTTCAGAGCTCTATGAATTGCAAACATTATTTGATGAATGAACTCAAAAAGTTACTGCTTAATTTTTTGTCCTGGTTCAAGAGTTTATTCATCAAATAGTGTTTGAAAGTTCTCAATACCAGGTGATCCTAACTCTGATTTTAGTCAATGGATATTGCAATTGTGAACCTCTTACTTGTTTTGAAAGTTGATGGTTAGCATAATTACCTCCAGAGGCAGTCTCCAAATCCTTATAATCAAGGCCAGATATTTTTCAACTCACTTCCATTCTATAAGCAAGGTTTCTGGTTGATTTTTATTATACTTATTAAGTTTTTATTTCCACAACTTTATGTTTTAGGATTTATGTTTCTTTACTGAATTATTTCATCTCCAGCATTGTCTTCCTTTTCTATACTCAGCTTTGTTTTTGTTTTTTTGTTTTGTTTTGGGGTTTTTTTGTCAGTTGTGGGGCTTGAAATCTGGGTCTGGGCGCTGTTTCTCAGCTCTTCAGCTGTGAGCACTCTACCACTTGAGCTACAGCACCACTTTCGGTTTTCTGGTGGCTTATTGGAGATAAGAGTTTCACAGACTAGGATTACAGGTGTGAGCCACTGGTGCCCGGCTTCAACTTTGTATTTTTATTCTCTTGAAATTTATACATGTCCTCTTCTATTTTGCTGATTATTCTTTTTCTCAACATGTGAAAAAAAAATCAGTCTCCAAATGCTAACCAGTTTTCAGAATCATTAACCATACTTTGAAGTCTTGAGTAACAGTGAATAGCTAGGGTGTTTTTTTCTTTTGCTATGGCTCTCCTTGGAAAGCCCTCATTTTTTACTTAGTGCTTCTTTCTTTCTTTTCTTTTTTAAATTCTTACAACAGCACACGCACTTTCACAACTTTTGTCACATCTGTTGATTTGGGTAGCAGAAACCCGTTCATAAGTTTGGCATCGGCCAAACTTATATATACACCACCAGTGATCATTCAGCAACACATTGCATGTCTTTTCATCCTACTTACTGTGCATGAAATTATTGTCAAACTTGTCATGACTTCACAGCCTTCTTCGGGCAAGTAAGGATTTAATTTTTTCAAAGCTATGGGAGCTAGGTGCCGGTGACTCAAGCCTGTAATCCCAGCTACTCAGGAGGCCGAGATCTAAGGTTGCGGTTTGAAGCCAGTCCTGGCAAAAAAAACTCTCCATGAGATTCTTATCTCTAATTAACCATTCAAAAATTGGTAGTATCTAAATAAATAAATAAATAGAGTAGAGCTGTGGCTCCAAGTGGTAGAGCACTAGCCTTATGCAAAAGAGCTCAGGGACAGCACCCAGACCCTGAGATCAAACCCCACAGCTAACAAAAGAAAAAAGCTACTGGAATTGCCCAGATTTCCAAGGTTCTGTCCCCAGCACTGTTCTATGCTGGAAATGTCTGTTTGTGGAATGTCTGTGTATTTCTGGGACCCAAAGCTCTTATTTTCCCAGTAGACATCCAAAGTGGGTTGACTGACTTGATGTAACACTTTTTTGAAGGTGAATAGCATTATAGTAGCATTAAGTGGGGACAGAGAAATGACTCCTGTGTCTTGAAGGACATTAGAGACAAAGCTTGGAAAATGAGTTACCTGCTGCAGAAATCCTGATGAAAAGAATTGAAATGATGGAATCCCTAACAAGGAAAGCCCTGAGGAATCTGGCCAAGAAAATTCTCTCATTGTTCATTGTTATTCTTGTTCTTTTGAATTCTTTTTTTTTATTGTGAAACTACTGTACAGAGGGGTTACAATTACATGGGCAAGATAATGAATACATTTCTTATCAAGCATTGTAGCCTCCTCCTTTGTTTCCCCTTCCCATCCTCCCCCCCTTCCACTCCACCCTCCTGCCCGCCCCATGAGATTTTTACCTTTGTTATCAATTGAGTCTTTTATATTGTCAGCTACTGACTTTGGGACGAGTCATGATGTCTGGGTTTTTTTTCATATAGAATGTTTCTTCATTGTGATTTGCACATAGTAGTTCAAGTCACTAGTTGGGGATTTTAATTGTCCATAGTTTCTCATTTGAAGTAATCTCAATATTCAGGTAGAGCTGGATCATTGCAGAGTTGATGTGCACTCTCTTACCATGGATTGGAATTTTGATTCATAATTAGCATTATCATCAGCAAAGGACATAGTTATATGTCCAAAGGACATCTATATAAAATAATATTTGTCGAAATAAACTCCAGAAAATGAAAATTAGAGTCTTTTTTTTTCTTTTTTGCTGCTTTTGTTTTCTTTCCTTTTTGTTCTGTTTGCTCATTTATATGTCTTTGAGAGGGCAAAGGAGGACACAGAAATGGAGGGACAAAGGAAGAATAAATCACCAATGATAGCCACTGGACCATGTGGGACTATGTGATTTTGTTCTTTCTTTAGTATGTTCTTCCCGCATGGTATAACCCTTTTTTTAACTGTATTTTATTCCAGTGCCCTACATCTTGTATATACATTTTTCTAATATGGAGAGGGGAAGGGAAATAACAAAATGCTGAAATAAGGATACAGTTTGACCCATTGTAACAATGAGATGTACCAGATCCTATGTTGAAAATGAACTTTACAACTTCAGGTGGGGAGGGAGGAGTTGGGGAGGTGGGGCAGAAAAGGATGGTAGGGGAAAAACGAAGGAAGGGGTAACAATACTAGATAGGAATGTACTCATTACCTTACTCATGTAACTGTAACCCCTCTTGACAATAAAATAAAAAACTTTAATTAATAAAATAATTTTACAATAATATATGTGGTATTGCTATATATGATATTGCTTGAAAATACAGGTTAATTATTATAGATGCCTCAAAATCAGAAACTTTGCTATCTCTTTGTTCTTTTTTTGCTCCATATTGACTCAGAGTCAGACACTCAGGAACAAACCTCAAAAGGTTTTCCTCAGGAAGGCCATTTGTGTGAGGCCAGGTGGATTCCATCCTGTGACCCAATCTCAAACAAATAATTGAAAGATTGCTGTGGCTATTCCAAGTTTTTTGTCCTTCCATATGAATTGTAGGATTTTTTTTCCTCTCTGAAGAATGTCATTGGTATTTTTAAGGGGAGATTGCCTTGAATCTGTAAATTGCTTTGGGCAGGGCAGACTTTTAATAATATTAACTCTTCCAATCCATGAACAGAAGAAGTATTCACATCTTTTGAAATTTTGTTTTGTTTTGTTTTTGTCGGTCGTGGGGTTTGACTTTTGGGCTGGGCGCTGTCCCTCAGCTCTTCAGCTCAAGGCGAGTGCTCTACCACTTGAGCCACAGCGCCACTTCCGGTTTTCTGGTGGTTTATTGGAGATAGGAGTCTCACGGTCTCTCCTGCCCGGGCTGGCTTTGAACCGCAATCCTCAGATCTCAGCCTCCTGAGTAGCTAGGATTACAGGCGTGAGCCACCAGCGCCCGGCTTCACATCTTTTGAAATTTTGTAATTTCATCCATCAGAGTTTTGTGATTTCCATAATAGACTTATGTTACCTCTTTAGTTACATTTTTGATAAAGTCACCTTTAGTTAAATGTGTAGTTGTAAGTTTGGCCTTTTACAAATACAGTTTATTGATCAGTTATTGCACTTTTTTTATAGGTTCCAGAAAAAGAACTTTTGCCTTACTTTAATTTCTTTACCTACAAAATGATAGAGTTGACAGGAATGATGGTCAACATTGAAATTTACTAAAACATATAGTTCTGTTACTGACCACATGGTTCAGAGCAATATCTCGAAGTCTACAAGAGGGCAGCCTTGCCAAATAGTGTCAACTTAGGGACACTTGACTAAGATGACCTGTATTTCCTAGGGTGGGAAGTATGCTTCCCTCTCTTTGTGTATGAAATGAAGACAGGAATAAACTTCACTTGCTATTTAAACTTTTTGTTTTGAATACTGAATAGTTATTTTGAAATACAAATTTCTCAGT